TATGATCCTTCAGGCAAGTTTTAACGGGATATGATGAGTGGTCAATACTCGCATTAAAATATGCGAGAAGGGCGTTCAGGCTCAGCCTGTTACGACAATTTGGGCGCTCTCAATTTTACCAATCTGATCCCTATGCTTGAATTATCTTATAACCCCTACCCCCACCTCTCTACACACATCCCTCCCCCCTAAGTTAAGTTTTCTAATTTTTTTTATTTTTTTTATAAAACATAGTTTGTTTTAGGGAAATATATCATTACCCCATTAAACTAAGACCTGTTTTTTAAAAAGACACTTGAACTTTGCGGGGGTCCTATTACCCCCTCTTTTTATGTAGAATGAATTTATTGTCCCATTACGTGCCTATGTGGCATGTAGAGTGTAGTTCACTCTCTGATAGCGAGTGAGCTGAGTCAAAACGTAAATATATATTTATTTAAGTATTTATTTAATTAGAAATGTTATTTTTTTTTCTTTTATTTATTTTATTGTTCTTTCTCCATTTTATTTTAATTTTTTGCTATCTTCTTCTCCAAAACTCAAAAGAATCAACTATCTCATCTCTATCTTCTTCAACTTAGAAAACCCATTTACTTCACTCGTTTTGTTTTTCCTTGTCTTCTTGCTTCTCTTTGTTCCCTTTTCTTCTTTTGTCCCTTATTTTTTCAAAAATAATAATAATTGTGAACCTCCTTTGATAATATATATATATATTTTAAAAATGTAGTTCTTTAGCATCGATTCGAGTGTATTATAGTATTTCATTACCTCCATCATAATGGAGTTTCGCTGCATAATTATTTTAATATTGGAAAGAAGATGATAGATTGAAGGTGATTATTAATTTTCAATTTATAATTTATTAGTAATTTTATTTTGATTTAATAATGATTTGATGAGATTTTAATAATGGGTGATGAAGGCTACTCCATTGGCCGTGATGGTGGCCAAGTCGAGGACTTGCAGTGATGACGGCTGGCTAGATGGAAGGCTGCAACAACGAAAAAGAGTGATAAAGAAAGAAGAAGAAAGAGAAAAAAAATGAAACTAATAAAATTAAAAAATTAAAATAAAGATTAAAAATTAAAACTTTACACGTGTCAGATAATAATTGGTGCGTGAGCGCACTTTCTTTTTTGCAATTGAGGGTGGCTGAAAAGTTGGATTTTTATAACACTTCAAAATTGTTTAAGGGGGTAATAGGACCCCCGCAAAGTTTAAGTGTCTTTTTAAAAAACAGGTCTTAGTTTAATGGGGTAATTATGTATTTTCTCTTTGTTTTATAACTAAATTATAAGGTACTTACATTTCTTATTGGAATGATATCAACTAAATAATTAAAGATAATTTAGACTAAAAAAAAAAAAAAAACCACAACCACCTAATATTTCATGTAGAAAATTCACAAACAAAATAATAGTTCAGGTATACTATCATTATCATTGAACAATTCGACCATGAGTGATGTGATAAAACATTAAATATTACTCCATATATCACAAATCATAATATTTAAAGAACATTTTTGTACATTAAACATATTTCAAATTGTAGACTTTAATATTCACGGTTAATTATGCAACTATTAGGACTCAGAATTCATTAATGAAACATGATTGATATTATTAGAGAGTCCTACATCGAATTATATTACTTATATGATATATAACAATCCTTCTTTTATGAACTAATTTTTATGGTTACGGATAAGTATCACTTTATCCACATTGATCAAATAACTTTCGTAGAGATTATTTCATGAAACATCCGTACATTTATATTATATGATACAGAACAATCCTTCTTTTATAAACTGATTTTTATAATTACCGATAAGTATCATTTTACCCACACCGATCGAATAACCTTTCGCAGAGATCATTTCATGAAACATCCATACATAAATTAAATTAGGACTAGAATCATAAATACCATAAATAAAAAATTCTAAACTATTAAGATATCTTATTCTCAATTTGTTTCCTACAGATTTCTGATTAATTATGGACTTAAAAGTAAATCAAATGAAATGATTATATTATAGATGTAATAACATTTTAGTTAGTGTAATTTGTACTTTAGAGGAAAGGTTTAAGAAAGGAAGTTAAGGTTAGAGAACCCAAAACTTGGGTAAAATGTTTAGATTTATTTATTGAAGATGAGACAATAACAATAAAGATGAAATAAAGACAAAATTGCAGCATTTGTGGATGTGCTCTTCTCAATGATTAGGAAGTAAAATATCTTGTAGTAGTGAAAAGAAAAATTGACACCTCCCTCCTTATTTACCCCACCATTTATGTCTCTACCCTTCACTTCTTTCTGATTCATTACCACAATTTCTTGTTCAGCAAACACCTTTTACATTTACTTTTTACAACATGATTACAGAATTAGAGAACATTTTCATATACTCTCTTTATATCTTTAGTTCTAATTTATATGACACATATTTAGAGCATGACCTAATCAATAAATTGATTGAGAAACATGAGAATTCAGGTTCATCCGTTGAGACAAAAACACTTGTGAGTCTTCTTATTTGTGTTAGCCTTGATGTGACAGATATTTCGTTCAATTAGTCGAGATGTGTGAAAATTGGCTCGGATACCACAGTCGTCAAAATATATAAATTATGTGTCACACTTTTTAATTAATTACGTCTTAGAAATGATGTCACATTTCTAGCACTAGTGGAAGTGCTTCACCCAGACTTTTGGTCTCGGGTTCGAGCCCTGGGTATGGAGAAAATCTTGTTGGGAGCGCCACCCCCGAATGGACCCTGCAGAGCGCGATTCGAATTTAGTCGGAGTTCTAATGTGGGCTCCGGACACCGGGTGGGAGACCAAAAAAAAAAAAACTTAACTTGAAATTACATATTTATCCTTAATAAAATTATTTATACAAATAATCAACCTGTTTTAGATGACAAATTTTTTTTAAAAAAAAAATTTATTTTCTTTAATAAATTGTGTCAAAGCAAACAGTGTCACATAAATTTAAATGAAAATAATAATTTCTTTTTTAAATTTTGCATCACATTAGACTAACAAATTAAAATTGAAAGATTACTTTTTTATGTTTAGCCAAAACTGTAAAATTTTAAAGATATTAATACTCGTATTTCCAAAATTTGGTAGGAAGTGATAATTTGACTTGTTTCACTCTGTATGCATTTTATTGGATGGGATTGGAAACAGGCTGTAGTCTTTGAGTTTTCCACCTACCCTACCCCCAAACCTTCTGACACGCCACTTAAAAAGAAAAAGGAAATAAAAATAGAATTGAAAATGAAGAAAATTTATAAGAAAAATAAATAAGAGAAGTATTGAAAATATTTCCGAATTTGACTTAAATTATTAGTTTCATTTTAAATTATTGACAGTTTTAAAAACACTCTTTTACTTGTCTAATTAAACTTAGATACATCCTGATACAAGTGGCCTCAAACTCTTGTAAGAACATGAAACTCTTAATAAAAAACTAAGAGAAATGTTGAAAATATTTCTAAACTTAGTGAGAATTTAGGCGTGTATTTTACTCATATTGCAAGATCGAAAGTATATTTAAAGTTCAATTAATCAAATAAGAGGATATTATTAAGAGTGTCAATAGTTTAAAAATGAAACTAATGATGCGCGTTGAATTTATGGTACTTTCAATACGTTCGGAATAAATTAAGTGAAAAGAACATATCCAATCATTTGGTATTTTGAATCCACTAATCGATTAAGTTAAATTCGTTTTGTGGTGCATCCATTAAAGGAAAAACAATTAGGAGAGGTACAAGTCCAAATACAAATTCAAAAAAAAATATTGAATGTATTTACATATTAAGTAGAATCAATATTAGTATTTCTAATTATTCAAAATTTCAAAATCTATAAAATTAAAAATTAAAATCCTGCTCCACCTTTATTTCAAGTATTTCCTTAATTTTAGGACTTGAGTCCAAAACCTCTTATTATAGTCCTAATGTTATTAAGTTATTTTGACGCCAATTAAATTGATTTTAAGACTCCAATTTATATCTCTTATCACCAAAAGAAAAAAGAAATTTTTTTCTTGACATAATTACAGGTAATAAATTACATTAGTCCCCTAATTAACTATTGAGATTAAAAAATAATAATAATCATAATTAAGTAATTAAACTTGTAAAAAGTACATGTTATACCATTGATTTGATGTATGCACTACTTTCTCATTCCCTCTTGTTAAGTAAGAAAATTGACCTTTCCTATTCTACTCTTTTCGTCATCGTAGGTACTTAGACATAGATTTGATTGAAAGTTAAACAATTTCCTTTTTTGAATTTAAAGTGCAGAAAATGAATTTGAGAGTAAACATTGTATATTTGTATTTAAACATACATTCTTGGAAAAATGTGAAATTTTTTTGAGTGATGTTTTTTTAAAAAAAAAAAAAAAAACTAACCAAAAAATTAGTACAATGTATTATATTTATGCCTCATAATATGTGTCATGTTTTATTTTAGAGAGTAAAACTTAATTAGCATTGATCAACATTGTAAGATATAACTTTTCATTATATTGATACAAGTAGAAGTATAATTTATAGTGATGCTTTTCGTATATATTTTTAATATCTAAATCGTAATTATAAACTATTGAATTAATCTAATTCAACCAAACTTTAAAAATTACCGAATAGCAAAAGTTAACATGAGACGAAAATCACTAAAAGGTGTGGTGCAATGGATGTGTGACAATTCATTCCTTAATTAGAGATCTCGATTTCGAGCCTTAGAATCCTTAATAGAGAATATTAACTCTATATCTTACATGAGTATCGAACATCGAACGTAAAATCAAAAGAAAAAAATAAGGAAGAAAGGAATTTTAAGAACTAAGGAATTCTATTTTGTTCAAATAAGGAAAAAAAATTACTCAAAGAAAAAAAGGAAAATATTTTTAAAATGAAAAAAAAAGAGAGGCTCAAAGCATAAACCCTAGACAACCCTCGCATCTCTATTTGTTTGCCACGTGTCATCAGCCACAAACTCCATGGATTTCTCCCCCTTATTACCAAACCCCCTACCACTTCTCCATCTTCTTCTTCTTCTTCTTCTTCCTCATCCTCCTCTGCTCTGTTTCTCTCTCAATTTTCTCTCCTACCAAACCGCCGCAAAAATTCAACCAGAATGAAAAACAGCAAGCAGAACGAACTGTGTGATTTGTTTCATAATCCATCTAAAGATGAAATTGAAGTAGTAGAAATTCTACTCGATCTCGAAAATCTAGTGAGAGAAAGACAATATTGTTCGGTAATTTGGGGTTCTAAGAAAAGGAGATCTAATCGACGCATCGATTCTTCTTCTTCTCCAGTCGTCAACTCATCAAGTTCTATTCAAGGAAGTTCGAAAATCGATGAAAACGAAATTGAACCAAAAATTAAAGCTGAAGTTACTAGCCCTGCTACTCCTCTTTCATTTTCCCCAAGTGAATCTGATGAAAAATCCAAACATTCTTCTCGAAAAAACTATAAACGAAAGGTACTATTCTCAACTCCCTCTCTTCTTCTTCTTCGTGAATTCATAATTGTTAATTGATTTTCAAAACTTGTTTTCTACGATTCGATATCTGTTTCTTTTTTCTCTCAATTAACCGGTTTCAATGCCTTCTCCCCTGTTTCGGATAATTTTTGTTTTATGAAAGTGGGTCATTTTTAATAGAATTTTCAACTACGTTACAACCATGATAACATACGCAGTGAAATCTCACAAATAGAGTTGACTGTTTTTGAAAAATCCTTGACTAGAAATTTAAATCTTGTTGCAAGAAATTTTTATCTTTATGATTGGGAATTTGGTGAATGATTTGAGTATTAAAATTGTTGATTGGTTTGCAGACGAGGGAGGAGTTAGTGGATAAAATAAAACAATTATCTCAATGCAGAGAATCGCTTACAGGGGTAAGTTTGTAAATTCCTTTAACATAAATTTAGTTTTTATTTTCTTTTCCTAAATTATCCTCTGTCTTTTTTTTCTTTTTTTTTCTTGATATATTTTATTTATTTATTGCTGGAAATGGAATTTGTACAGGAAGTGGAGAATGTTCGTAATTACTACAACAATCAAAAAGCTTATAATTTGAAGTTGAAAGCAATGAAAGAAGAGGTAAATATTCATCTCTATTTTTGGTAAATATGTTTACTATTTTCTCACTTATTTGAGATTTGTGATTGTGGCTGGGGTGGGGTGGGGGGTTGCATAATTTGTCCACAAAATTGATCATTTGCTACACTAATAGTATGAAAGAACGTTTACGTTATCAGTATAATTTAACTCGCGATAACATATTATTATTCTTTTTTTGAAGCTTTATTATTAGCTTACGACAAAAAATGTATAATTTAACTCGTGATGGCATATTGTTACTCTATTTTTTCAAGTTTGCTTATTAGTTTATGATAAAAAGTGTATAATTTAACTCACGATAACATATTATTACTCTATTTTTCAAGTTCCCTTGTTAGCATTCAGCTTCTTCCTTCGCGTAATCTACCGGATAACGGCCTCCTTGTTACGTTGCATTTTGTGATCTTACGCTTTGTTAATTACAGGTAACAAGAATGGTGAATTTCCAAGGGGGTGGTGTTAATTTAGGTCAACTTTACAGTAATCCTGGAATAGAGCCCAATCGTCAACAGCCGTTCATTATGGATCAGGTTGCTTCAAGATCAGAAGCTTTCCATAGATTTCAGTACCCATTGGGCCAGCTGCAACAGGCCCAGCATTTGTACTCAAATGGGTTGGGCCCAGGCCCAATGGGCCTTCCGGATCTGAATGTTACGGTGGACGAGGCTTTCGCATTGGACCCGTTCGATATCGATAGAATGAATGTTGAAAGGAAGGCCCAATATGCTGAAGCTAGAAGGAAGAGGAGGATTAAAAGAATAGAAATTAAGAATTCATCTGGTTTTATTAGACCACCAAGGAGGAGATAGTAGGTATTTTTTGTATTTTTGATCCCTCCATAGAATGATAGTATTATTTTTTTGAGCGATACGGAAGGCCAATCGAGCAAAGCTCTATTTTTTTGCTTTCGTCATGTCGCTAAGTGAAATTGTATCGTACATTAGTTGATGAGCTATAATGATGTACGTATACTTTTCATTGATCGTTCAAACAAAATATTTCCCTGGATTTAGGTTTTGAGTTTGATTTTTTAGCAATTGGATTATTTTGCATGACATTTTGGTAATTGAGTGGTCAATGAAGTGATTGAGAATTCTGAGGTCTCAAATTCAAAATTTAGTGGAGAAAAAAAATCATTAGGTGATTCTTCTCACATGTCCTATCCCCCTAGGTATCTCGTGGAATTAGTCAAGGTGTACAAAAGATAGCTTGGACACTCCTGAATATAATTAAATATTAAGAATGTATGTCTTAAACTCTTAGAATAGATAATCACACACTTCAAAGTTCAAACATAACCACTTGTCATGTTGTTTTATCAATATATTAAAGAATGAGAAAAATTTCAAAATGTCAATATCTAGTTATTGTCTTTGATAATTGGACGCGTGGATCTTTGTACTATTCAGAAAGGCATAATGGATCAAAATATCTGCAGTTAGATTTATTTTGTTCTGTCCCAAGTAACTTGGAGACTTAATAGGCCCAAATCAATAAAACTGGGCTATTAACTAGGTCAACATAAAACTAGGTTTAGGGTTTGGTGACTGCTACTGTATATACTAACACTAGTGACTAAAATTTCTCTCTAGGCTATGTGAAAAATGTCGTGTCTTTTCTTTCTCTTTTCTTTCTCTTGTCATTGTTTGAGTTAATTTATGTGCACATCGACTAATTTCACGATAACTCATTCTCTTTGTTATGTTTTCTGTTATAGTTTGATTGAAAATTGATTGCAAAAGGGGTATGCTGACGATGACATTATTATTGAGGATATAAGAAGCTCAAACTTTATTGAAGTTTGAGCGATGCTTTTTCCTATTACTTCCATGACTCTGATGCATACTTTATCCCAATTACCTTATATTTATTGCATTTTTTTCTTTGTTGGCAAAATTAAGTGCTTTCATGGCGAGATTATATTGGCTATTTTGTTTTTGTTGATATAATTTGATGGCTGCCTTACACTTGTATTCCAATTATTTGTACAGAATAAGTTTATTTGAATGAATTTAGGTTTAATTAGGTCTTTTGAATCAGTTTATTTTGTACCACTTGTCATAATTGGAAGGCCAAAGATTCTTTAATTTGATCTCAATTTTAATGTTGGTACTTTAATTCATAGTTGTTTTAGTTAGACCCTTCAAAGCAAGGGAGAAGCTGAAATATAATTAAAACTTGTTTTAGTTAGACTCTTCAATCTAGATATATTTTGGTTCCCCCATTCATAAATCAAAAATTGAATCAACTGAATTGAATAGCTGAAAAAACAAACAATAAGGGTCCACAACCTCAAAAATAATGGGGGTGGTGGATGAAATAGCCATGTTTCACTATTTAATATGGGGAAGACACTGATGAAAGAAGCTGAATATTATTTTCCTTATCTATTTTTCTTAAAAAACTTTGATTAGTTAATCAAATTCATTGTGCCATTTTTTTTTCTTTGGATATTTTGGCTCAAATTAATGTGAGTTTAGTCCAAGTACCTTTAAGGGCAAGGAAAGGCTCGTGAAACCCCCTTATTCAGCTTTCGAAACATTAATGATAAAATTGGTGAAAAAAATACATTAAATATAAGAGAATTTGAGAATTGGTTATGGATTACGGCACAAAATATAATAAGGGACTGAGAATTGGTCATTGGTTTACGGATTAAAGAGAAATGAAATGTTTCTCCAATGTAAATATGCAATAGCAGTCAGGGAAAAAAAAGATAAATCAAATGTAATAAAATAACTGCTGGAGAATATTATTTAGAGGAGTACGGATGCATATTATAATACTAGAATAGTATCTTAAGTGCAAGAAACTGCAATACACAAACAAGTATAAGAAGCTACTGTAATACAGTATATTCATATAGACCAATAAAAGACATTTCATTTCTCAACAAACCAAACACAAAGTTCAAATGAAGAGAAGACAATAGGAAACATAACAAGTTCACTTTGGCAGAAATTGAACAAACCAACAAATATCAAATGTAGACAAGTCTTTAGGATTCATATTGATGATCATCAACGGCCTCATCATCATATTCTTCCTCATCATCTGCTGTAGCATCCTGGTATTGTTGATATTCTGCAACCAAATCATTCATGTTGCTCTCGGCTTCAGTGAACTCCATTTCATCCATTCCTTCACCTGTGTACCAATGCAAGAAAGCCTTGCGCCTGAACATGGCAGTAAACTGCTCACTCACCCTTCTAAACATCTCCTGAATGGAGGTTGAATTGCCAACAAATGTGGATGCCATCTTCAGCCCAGTTGGTGGGATATCACACACACTAGACTTGACATTGTTAGGGATCCATTCAACAAAATAGGATGAGTTCTTGTTCTGCACATTGATCATCTGTTCATCTACCTCCTTTGTGCTCATCTTACCCCTAAACATGGCAGAAGCTGTCAGGTAACGTCCATGACGGGGATCTGCGGCACACATCATGTTCTTGGCATCCCACATTTGTTGAGTAAGCTCTGGCACTGTTAGAGATATGTATTGCTGTGATCCACGAGAGGTTAGTGGGGCAAATCCCACCATGAAGAAGTGAAGACGAGGGAAGGGGATTAAATTCACAGCCAATTTCCTCAGGTCTGAGTTCAGCTGACCAGGGAATCTCAAACAGCAAGTAACACCACTCATGGTTGCAGAGATCAAATGGTTCAAGTCACCAACTACAAGAGAAAATAGGGCAAATTAATCATTTGCTTACTTAAACTTGCAGATCATATTATTGGTTACCACTAAAGAGAAACACTTACAACTTGGAGTAGTGAGCTTCAAAGTCCTGAAACAAATATCATATAGAGCTTCGTTGTCAAGGACCATACATTCATCAGCATTCTCCACCAATTGGTGCACAGACAATGTAGCATTGTATGGCTCTACAACAGTGTCAGACACCTTTGGAGAAGGGAAAACAGAGAATGTGAGCATCATCCTGTCTGGATACTCCTCCCTTACCTTGGAAATCAGTAGTGTTCCCATGCCAGATCCAGTCCCTCCACCAAGTGAGTGACAAACCTGGAATCCTGATCCACACAACAAAGAATATAAATCAGTCAACTACCACCCCTCAATCAACAAATGGTAATAATTGTAGAAATAGGATCACCAAATTGATGCATCAAACATATAAAGATTATTCAATAGATACTATCACTTGTCCAGAAATTTTAAGAAAGAATCAGTGTGTATAAGATCTTAGATAAATTTCTAAAACTGGAAGGAAAAGGAAAACAAGACGATTGACTAATATTGCCATCAGTAAGATCCAGACACATCATAAATCTCAGTACTCGGTCATGAACTCTAAGAGAGTATGACTTGTTGTGAGATGCATAATGAGAAAGTTAAATTTATCCTTCTGCTAGACTATACAATTTTATGGCAATCATTTGTGTGCTCTATGAGATTCAGGCTTTATATGAACATTCAAATGTGCACATACGCATCAGCATTATTTCTACTTTGAGTCAGACAAGTTGTTAACAGCAAATATAGGCATTTTCATCATAGATCATACGATTACAAATGAGTAAAAGAGATCTGTATACAACCGACTATGCTACCGTAGGTACATTCATAGAAACAACAAACAAGCATCAAAACAAGATCAAATTCGGTTACATCTAGGCTATGTCAACTGTAAGCACATACATCGGACCAATTAGCATAGGATTTGGAATGAAAATGAGGAAGAGATCTAGTATAGGCACTTGTTAACTACCAATAGGAAGAATAAGTATGCAATTAGCAATAGAATCGAAAACAGAAACTAAAGGCACAACTATAAGAGAGAGATCTAATATATGCACTGTTAACTACCAATCGGAAGAATAAGTAAGCAATTCGCAATGAAAACGAAAACAGAAACTAAAGGCAACATGCACATTCATAGAGGAAATGAAAATTCGATTAGAAATGAACAAAACCTTGCAAGCAATCACAATTCTCCGCTTCTTTACGAACAACATCGAGAACAGCATCAATCAACTCAGCGCCTTCAGTATAATGACCTTTCGCCCAGTTATTCCCAGCACCAGACTGTCCAAACACAAAGTTATCAGGACGGAAGATCTGTCCATAGGGACCAGATCTGATACTATCCATAGTACCAGGCTCTAGATCCATAAGTACAGCCCTAGGAACATAACGTCCACCAGAAGCTTCATTGAAATAAACATTGATACGTTCAAGTTGAAGATCGGACTCAGCGGCGGTTCCTTTGTAACGTCCGGTAGGATCAACACCGTGTTCATCACAGATAACTTCCCAGAATTTGGAACCGATTTGGTTTCCACATTGTCCTCCTTGAATGTGAAGGATTTCTCTCATTTTCTCTTAGCTTTTTTGTGAAAAAATTGATGAGAGAATGAGAGAGAAGAAGAAGAACAGATGAAGATGAAGGGAGAAATGGGAAAGAGAGTGATATTTCTAGTGGTAAGTAATGGGGAGAGAGGCGGGAATACATAAACACGCAATAACTGATGGACCCTACATTATAGGGTGAGAAGAATATGGGTCCCACGATTTTCACCACCGATATTTTTGGCATCCATTATTTTCTTTTTGTTCTCTTCTTAACGCACAATAAATTAATTTAATTAAATTAAATAATCTCTTTTATCATCTCAAATATTTTCTTTTCTTTCAAAAAAATGTTTATTTTTAGAAGAAAAAAAATTAGTGACTTGTTATTATTTTTTATTAGTGTAGAATAATGTTGATTAAAAATAAGATGTTATGAGAAAGATATATGTGATGTTTTGGGAGTTTTGATAAATACTTTTATGATTGAAGGAATTAAATGTTTTTTTTATCTAAGGGGATGAAAAAATCTTAAAAGTTAGGTAACGCATATATAGACATATGTTGATTTAGGATTTGAATCCATTGACCATTTGAGTTATTGGGTT